GGTTGCACACTGAGGTTCGTTTAAGCTGGTCACGTCTTCATGGTATTTGCACCCCTGCAACGAAAGATGCATCTCGCATTATATTGTCATCTATTATATTACAGTCACCTTGCTCTCCTGACGAACAGTGTTACAAGAGCTGATAGTAATTCTGTGCTACCGCATAAACATATGAATAGTTTCATGCGCCGAGGTATGTTAAAATATGCATGATTCTTCCAAAACCAAATTTCATAGACCCCATGTAAGAATGCACCTGTACCGAGAAACAAAATTTATCTACAAACCAAATGTTTAGGGCAAATGACAGAAACTTACGTTTCAAAGGACAGAGTGACTGCTGAATCCATTGAACCAGTAGAAGGTAACAGTGGATGCTGGAAACAGGAAGCAGAGATCGAATGGTGAAAAAAGGCTATTTAGATTTTCACATATGGCGTCTGATCAATAGTAACAAACGTCATCCCCCCGTTCAGAAAACGATAATATTAATGTAATAATAGTCCTCGCTTTAGGACCTTGTTGTGCTTTAATTGTGGATAAACAAGACGGTGGTGTTCAATCTATTCTTCTGATTTATCAGTAAATGTGTGACTTTCTCAAAGAGCAATGTCCTTAAAAGCATCACGAGTTCTTTAACCTCAGTTTTCAGGGAATTGCTAATCAACCTTTTTAAGATTCACGATCGACCTTAAAGTTAACTGTAAATACTCTCTACGACTACTTATGATTTCTTTAATTTAGTCTTCAATCTGATTTTGAAATGGACTCAATGAAGTTGGTTTCTGGAGAATAATGTATAGTGATGTTCAGATTGCTAACTAATGTGTAATTCACTCTACATCGCCCGGCAGTGCGATCTTATAACTTTGTACAGTATTTGTCTCGCTCTCTTTAACCTCAGTAAACTCTCAGCTTTCCGTAAAATCATTGTTCGTGAAATTCATAATTAAAAAAGAAAGAGGGCTGCAAGTAGACCTGGAAATTTGTCACATTTTCAATTGCCTCTATGATGCTATGATTTTTGCCTTCTTTTATAAATAACAAACAATGACCAAAGTTATGCTCACTCTATCTCATGTTCATTTTGAATATTAACATGAGGAGTTGATTATAAAACTTTTAAGTCAATATCATTCCAAACTCTATCAATTTACTGGTATCGACGTTACGAACACGCATGACGTTCGAGCCAATACAGTGATTCATTTAAAGCACCGTAGTTAATTAGTTAAAGCACCGTAATTAGTGAAGCCTTGGCGTGCTTAAACGCCGTCCTTTCTCCTACCTCTCCGCCTGTTTCTTACGGTAAAGGAACAATGCGAAATTGTCGCATACCAGAAGTAGCGATTTGCATGAGTTATTTTCCAAGGCGTCTTACTGCAACCTAGTCTTACTGGTTTCATTTCTGAAGTCACCAGAATTTTGACAATTTGCCTTAGCTGCCAATTTCTTTAAGCAAGAAGTTTAGCTCTCGTTGCTTCGATGTAATCATGTGAGAAAGGAGTTCAAAGCACAGCGCAGGGTACTGATGTAAGCATACCATAATGTGCGGTAGGTGCCCTGTGCTGTCTGATGCGAGCAACTTTTGGAGCTGCCATGATCCTTGACCGATCTCATAGCTGACAGTTCAATGTGATGATCAGCCCAAGGTATAACCCATAACCTACTTCCCAACCTCCCCCTGCTGTCCACCCAAAAACGGTAATTTATCCTACTTTTCAGATTTGTTATGGGAATAATCATTAGGGATCACTGTACAGTAACCCAAATTTTTTGTTTTTGTTGCAATCTCTCGTTGTATATTCTTCGAATACTGCAGAAAGCTTGTATCAGGCCGCTACGTCAGTTCTAACTCGTTGACAGCTAGAGATCACTGGCTGTTATGTCTCCGTTTTAAGGGCATAGAAACGCCCTGCACATTGCTTGAGCCGATTGATGTCAAGGCTTACTGTTGGCAGCAATCGTTTAACTGATCTATTTTTTAAGCATTAAATCAGCTGCCTTAAATTACCGAATAAATCTTCATATCGTCCGTGAGTTCGCAACGAATGTAGTGTTTCATGATCAGAACGAACAAGGCTGAATATGCTTTGCAAGTGCGCCCTCGGCTGAGGATTCTATTTGCAATTTTTCAAAGCTCCGTTAAGCGCATAATTATAAAACAACGTGATGATCGTGTCGATATGTTATTATGTCATTAAACCTATGCAGGGGGATGCTCTACTCTGCTTTTTGCAGCAGCATTGATAACGTCACTCTTATCTAATACCTATAGGAAGCAGGAGACTCACTTTGAAGATGAAGGATTTACGATTGTACAAGTTCAGCACCACTGACTTTTGTACAGTTCAGTCTTTGTTTTCAGGACGATGAAGCATCCTCGTGTCGTGTAGTGGAACCTTAAGAGTGGAAGGCCGTTTAATCTATGTGAAAAGGGTAAATATCTTGCAAAATTCGTTCTGCGGAGACAGAACTGTCATTAAGAGTCTGCGCAATGGTCTTAACCGTGAGATCGTATTGCAATTCTCCAAATCTCATGATAGCCCTCGCAAAATCATCTAAGGCTGTAAAATAAGCAACAATATCATTAAAGAAAATCAAAATATCGATTCGTACGCTGGAGTTCGTTACCTAGTATAAGCATATCTGTTAGAGCAGTTCCCCATTGACAACAATATCGCAAGCATACGGGGAACCTAATGAAAATAAAGTTGGAGCATGAACTGAACGTACGATTTCGCTTTCGAATTCTGGGTACGCTGTTGGAATTATAGCAGTTTTGAAGATTCGTGATAACCGCATCAAATCTAACCTTCCTATTATAACCAAGAAGACGGATAGTCCGTCCCGACTAATAGTGTGATAAACAACGCTTTAATTTAAAATATTTCATGCTTTGTTCTTCTGCTTATGGCATTCCGAAATATTTGATCATCTCGCGCATAAAGAACTTTTGTTATACTCATCATCCTTTCTTACCCATGGTTGGTAAAGAACCCACAAGAGTTCGCCATAAATTTATTTTCTGTGAGGTTATTCATCTTGATCAAGGAGGAGCTCTTTAGCTCATTTTGCCATTCATCTTCAGATCTTCCTAGGGCTGTTTACTTTCACCTGTAACTCAGTCTGGTATCCCCAAGACCAGCAAAAGTTGGTTCTTTTTGCAACGTGTCTTACAAAAGGCAAGTTCAATGTGTTCACTCGTGCAATGGCATAGCAGATTCCTGTCTGTGCTCTTAGATTCGCATCATGAGGTGTTACGTAGTATGTAGTTGATGAATATCACTCTGGCTTAATGTTCACCTCTCAAATCCACTGATCGAAAGTAGAAGGGTAATTTCCCGGATAGGAAAATTTTCATTTTTGCATTACTGTACCTTGACACAACGAGTCGACTACGATACGAAACGTCGGTTATTTGTGCAATAAAATGCATATGGAGGGCAATTTCACCAGAAACATAAGGACCATGGCATTTTCAATTCTCCATGCAATTTTTAACCAGTATATTCTATATGTTCAGAATAGCAAGAAACAATAGGGAAACACATAGTAGTCTGAGCACAAATAAGTCTGCGATGGCATTGTCCAAATGAAGAAGTTAAATCAGCGATAGACAAAACACGTTACAAGAAGTACCGATCATCTCTGGGCCAGAGAGGCCTTAGAATGTTTCAAGGGAGAGTAAACGACTGCAGGACAGGATGAACTGTATAAGTTCACTAGATCAAGAAGGATAAAAATCGCACAAAATATAGGTCTACGGCGAAATCTAGTAGAAATTATCATTCAGCAGAGGATGGGCAAAGGCTGATGGAATGACAAAATAACGCGCAAATGACCACTTGAACATCAGAGTGAAAGTTAATGATGTATTAAGCTCATACTGCGTCATGATGATGTAGCACAGATT